GCCTTTGTTTGGCAGTTTCGAGTGCTTCAGGTATGGGCATCTGGCTGTACTTCTTAGGTACTGATCTTTTCATTGCACCTCTTAGGAGCTCTGACAGTTGGCTCACTTCCCTCCTTGTTATCTTGATCTTAGCCTCTAACCGTCTGTCCATTAACCCAAATAATTAGCCTAATCCCTTTCAGACTGACTATCAATTGCTTGGTTCTTCATGAAAAGTAATGTGAAAACTTGTTTAAAAACTGCAAAGTCTAGAGAGTACATAAGATTAGTGCATTCTCTAATCAAATAATTCTGGTAAAAGATCATTGACAGGAGGATATTGGGTCTCATGGTTGCTCTTATAGCCAAGCATCTCAAGGATCACTGATGCTGAGTTGTATATCAGTTCATTGGTTTCAGTTATGGTGTTGGTAGGGATCGTTCTCAATGCTGCATTCACATCTTCAATCTTCTGATGGTACTTCACTCAGCTGCTGTAGTTGGCGTCGGGGTTGTCTGGTGTTCATTCGGGCCATGATTCTCTCTCTCAGGTCAGTTGCTGCCTCGTTCAGCTCAGATGGTTCATTACTGGGGCTACATACCCAGTCTCTGGGCGGGTAGTTGTAGTTAACTCCCTTCTGACCTGGCTCCTTCCCTTTGTGTTGTACCTCGTCAATCTCAAGTTGTGATAGCAGTTGCCGTTTGCGGATGTTGGAACACTGAGCTACTAGTTGTTTGGCAGTTAGTGTCGACTGGGGATGTCGAAGTAACCATTCCTCCCACAGTCTTTGCATGTAGCCCCTCTGGCTAGGGTTACTTGAGTAGTAGCATTCCAACAGATCCATCTCTCGCCCATTTCCGTCTTGTTCCAGTAGCCCATTTTTCATCAAGGTGCTCTGGTTCCCCAGCACCTGACGCAGACCTTGTTTGGCCGGGCGACGTCTGAGCCGGCATGTCGTGCTTATCAATGTCTCTCATGGTATGAGGTAGGCTATATAGCTCCAAGGGTCTTGCCTAAGGACCCACACTGCATAGCTCAATTTCACTGTTGTAACTGTTTGCCCCAGCCTGGATTCGAACCCGGGTCTCCCGGGTGGAAGACTGGTGACTTACCCACTGAGCNTTCATTTTAATTACAAAGAAATATATATACACAATTAGACAACTGCCTCCAAACAATATGAAATCACATTGATTTGAAGTCATTAACTTGATAAATAAGTGCAAGTTCAATAAAAATGTGTGCACCGACAGAAAATTTTAAAGTTCTGCTCCTAAAAATGTGTTAGCATTACTGCGATGTAAAAGGAAAACTGAATATTACAGATGGGAAAAAAAGTGTTTTTGTTATTGACAATATAAAGCAAAACAAACAAAGAAAAACAACATAAAAAGAAAAAAAAAAGTCCAATGGTTGATACTGATAAGAACATAATTTAAACTGGCAAACTTTATTGCAACTCAAACACACATACATACAAAGTAAAGCATTTTTTTTTTTTGCAAACAGGCCCATAGGATGTAACTTTTCTAGGCCCTAATTTCTGATCTGTATAAATAATGAACTTTAAGACTGAGGTTTAAACCACCAGGAGTCTTTTCTACAATTACAAAAGCTCCCATTATCTTTAAAGTGACAAAAGATGTGAAGTTTCTTTTTAATTAGGCCAAATATTTCTGCACAAACAGAAAAGTTAAACACAATGTGGAAAATTAAATGTTAAAAAATGCTCCTTTTACTAGATTAAGAAGATCTCTGTAGCTGTGTCTGAAGGCCAGCTTGAGCTGTGCTCTAGTGCAAATATTCCAAATCAATGTAGAGTGCAATAATGTCCAAAAAAGTAAAATGGGTCACAGATAGATTCATGAGTATTAGAAGTGACCAGGCGCTTGAAACATCAAGTGAGAATAGATGTCATGTTGTCTAAATTACAGGCCGACTTCTCTGCAGAAGCTGATTTCTAGAGGAGTTTAATGACTTCTTTGGAATCGTCTTCATTCAGTGGTCCGGGGATAGTCCTCTCCACAAGGCAGTATCTTCACATGCAGGAGTTTTGGACCAACAGAAGAGTGACGCTCACTAAAGAAAAAAGCAAGAGAGAAATGTAACCAATCACTTTCTACAAAAATTATCAAACCTACAATGGAGGAAAACAATGTGCTGAACGTTGGCTTGTGAAGAAAGCTTTCCCAGGATACCTGGCTACCTACAGTAATGTGAAAGACGGAGAGAAAAACAGAGCTGAAAGTTAAAAATATACAAACAGCCACAACATTAAAATCTCAATTCCACAATCTAAAATAAGGCCTTTTTAACACCACCTACCACAGCCTCTAAATATTACGTGATGTCAATGTGAATTTGTCAAACACTTCATACCAGAGCTAAAAAACACTCTGGGGTAAGGTGTCCTAACTCCATAATCAAGTTCAGCTACATCTGAATTACAAAGCCATCAAAAAGATTATTTCAGTAATTCAATTCAAAAATTGAAACTCACATAGATTAATTACACACACAGTGTAGAGTTCAAAGCGCTAATTTAATTTATGGCTCAGTTAATGTCAACCTAAAATTCAGTTTTCAGGCTATTTTAATATTACTAAGACCAACAAAAAGGGAGCGTTTAAAACAAGCCTTTGTATGAATTACTCCGTCAGAGCAGCGTGGAAAGGAGACGACGAGTCTGTGGCACTGCTGAGGGGTTCAGGAAACCTCAGCAGTGCTTTTGAGTTTAATTACCACAGAGGAAAGCATCAAGTTCTATAAAATGTCCTGTTGGTCAATTGTGGTGACTGGAATTTATGAAACAGTTGATTTTCATCTACACTTGATATGACTCTGCAAACCATCACTAACTGTGATAGCTTCATTTTGGGCCTGGTAGTTGCCACCTCTAAACTTGAAAACCTTTTTTTTTTAAATGTATAATTTTTTTAAAACTCTTTTCTTCCACTTAATTTTAACATTTTGCTTTGATACATCATTGAGTTTCTTTAGCAATGATATTATGCTAAAGAAACAAGTTACTAGTAGCTTGGACTAGTAACAGGACAATCGAGCAGAATTACATAGGAAGGCAATAATCAGATTAATATTCACATAAATTAATACAAATTAAGGCCTGGAGAACACCACTGTGTGGAATGCATCTCTATGAGTTTTATTTTTTGAAATTTGTTTCTGAAATCTTTTTGATGATATATCTAGTATATATCTGTAGACTACAGGGCTTACTGCAGAAAGAAAACCCTGCAAATGATTTTAGTGTTGTGGCTGATCTGTGCATTTATAGAGCTTCTCATAAAATAATTAAAAAAAACATCTCCCAACAATACCATAATTCACCTGTTTAAATACAATGTAATGAAATAAAACATGTTCTTTCTCATCATGCAATCATGTTTTTATTAAACACAATTGTTGTTGGACAACAATCTCCTTACCGAGAGTGGTACATCCTCGTCAGCTTTTGCAGGATCTTTGACAGTACGGGTTCGCCGACTGCTGTAACCCACCAATGACTGGTCAATATCACTGGTTAAATATATGCATGAAAAGGCGACTAACAAGAGTTTAGCCTGCTGAGACCTCCTGTAACATGCAACCTGAGGTCCAAGCAGGGCAACACCCACCATCCTGTGTACTGCTCATCTAAAGAGACCACCAACACAAACAAGTGCCAACCATGCAGCCATTAACACACAGCGCACCTTAAAATAATCACAGTTGTCTTGTTTTTATATGAAGATTAAAATTATGATCAGGTTATTTATCCAAGCAGAACAGAATCAATGTTTGTAACTTTCTCCTGAAAAAAAAGATATGGGCAAAATCAAATTCAATAATGTGGTAAAGTTTGAAGTGTCACACCCACAGCGAAGACGTACTGTGTATGAAAATAATACCTTCTTTTTTTCCAAGTTATAAAGAATCATTATCTGAAGGAAGTAAACACTAAATGCATTTACAAACAACCTTAAACATTATACAGCTAGTAACAGAAATGATTCACAAGCTAAATTAAACCCAAAGGATCAAAACTAATTTCAACATACTTTGAAATTTGGTACTTGGTTAGAAGTGGTGTGGGTTTTAAAGAAACTCTCCTATACAGCCAGATAGTCATTATAAATGGAAATAACTTTCATAATGTCACCTCCTAAGATAATGGCCTGTGTCATTTTCTGCCAAAAGTGATACAGGCATAAATAAATAAATAAATAATCACTTTTGGGTAAAAATAACTTAAACATTATTTTAGGAAGGTGACAATATGCAGAAACATATTGAAAATCCAATTAAAAGCCAAGTGAAGTCCCAGGAAAATAAAAATAAATCGCTGTTCCACTGAACACTGATGATTTATGAATTATTGCAGTTAGCTCCCAAAAGAAATTTGTGGTGGCTCTGTGATGTACAATCTTATGAATTAATTGAAGAAGTATGCAAATGAGAAAGTAATGGATAAACCTTTCCTTTGATTGTTTATTCAGGTTTGGGTTTGCTCTTTGAGACTAAAAATAATGAGGCTTCATTATGTAGACACGTCAGCAGCAATTAGTCATTTGTAGGTTATTTGGTTTAGGGTTGAACATAAAAGAATTTAATGCTTTTATTAATGTAGCATAAAACATTTTTAAATGCCATTTAAAAATATCTAAAATTATGTGCATCTCAGTAAATTAGAATATCATCAAAAAGTTAAGTAAAACCTTTGTATAGATTCTTTATCTTATGGCCATATGATGGCGAATCAAGAAGAAAATTGCTGACATGACAGAGAGTCAGACATCCTCTACAAGGTAGGGAAGACAAAAAATTATTGCTAAAAAGTCTTGCTATTCCAGAGTATGCTGGAGATTTTAACATAGAATTGACTGCATCCATGACACAGGTTAGAGCTGTATAGTTTCTTGTGCAAAGCTCCTGAGGCAAAGATAATGTCAGAAGTACAGGGTAAGTGAAAAACTGAGAATACTGCTCAGTGGCTCAAAGTGCCTTTTCAAATAAAAAAAAGTTCCCCAAGAGCAAGAGTGCAGAAGCTCAGAATCCAAGTTTATTGAAGTCCAGTGTTTGGTTCCCACCACCAGTGATGCTTTTGGAAGCAGTGTCATTCAATATGGTTGGTTCACTCAAGGCCAAGTTTCAAATCCAAAGTTTCTGCTGTCATACATCACAAAATTTGAAAGCACTTTATGTATCCCTCTAATTACAAGCTCTATGGAGCCGATTTAATTTTCCTGCAAGATTTTGGGCCCATTTTTATCTGATAAATGTAATCTTTAGAAATTACATAATAGCAACATACAAACACTTGAAACACACCCAGTATGTAAGGAATCTACATCATTAATTACTCTGAAATTATGTTTTCACTAATATTCTATTTTATTGAGATGCATATATATATATATATATATATATATATATATATATATATATATTGTATGTAGAGAATTCTCAGTGAGACCCACAGCTCTGTAGAGGAGAGTTCCTTTTTCATTGTATATAACAACATAAAAGCTTCACAAGTCTGTGAAGTAGAGATGGGCATTGCATTCCCAGATCAGTAGTTAGGCAAAATCTGTAAAATTTGAATTACAGGATGTTATAATGTCATTTCTTCTTCAAATCCCCATCCCTACTTCAAAGTGCAAAAAAAAAAAAAAAACCCTTCATCATGCAACGTCGAGAAAGTTCAGACAGGAAGCAAAGGCACACATTCAGACTGTTAATGGCTGGGCTGAGGAAGGACAAAAAGCAACAGACAGACTCCAAGTTCCATAAAGCGTTAGTTTACACAGATATAAAACAAAGATTTACCGTTTCTTTAGGATGCAAAATATAATAATGCCAATGATGAGGATGATGCAGATCACTATTTTGATGAAAAAAAAAAAAGACATTGTGATGTTTGGAGAGTTTGTGTGTGAGCTTTAAGAACGGTCCTGAAATTTAATCCCCTTTCCCCCCCCCCCCCCCCACACATTAAACAGAAAGCTCTTCTTCAAATTAATTATAAAAATCTGCCAGTTGGAAGAAATGATCTTGATCTATTTGAGAAGCAGACGCCTAACATAATTTCTTTAAAATAATTTGAGAGCAACTGGCACCAAGAAAAAAAATAAATAAATCAGCTGTTCAAGTGTTAACCATTTGTAGAAGTTCTCGTAACAAAAAATCAATATCTATACAATAATTTGTCAAAAAAGTACCTTGTAGCACTTCACTATATATTATATTTTATTGGCAAATAAAATGCTATCTGCCAACAATAGTTTTGGTGATTTCTACACAGCTACTGTATTAAACAAACAAAGGCAAATCAACACAGAAGAGTTAAAAGGTTAAAATGTTAAACTCAGTGTTAAATGAATTCAGTTACAGTTACTGATCAGAAAACTTTTTTTCTGTTTTGGGAGCAAAATGCTAAAAGATAAAAATAACTTCTGCAAAGTGGGTAATTTATTAACTAAGACATTCTAGGTTATTTTGACCTTTGTAGAACTCCATGATCTGTGTTATTATAGCAACACTGTTCATTTGAGGTCACACTACTTTTGAAAAGGGCTCACATAATTTGTGTTTACTGTTAACACGCAGCTCAAGGATGAGGATAGACTTACCAACTGCAATAATAATCAATGTCGGAGGGGTCTTGTCACCGTCATCTAAAGAAAAGCAAGAAAAGAAAAAGAACAAACAAGAGACAGAAGAGAGCAGGAATTAAGTTGAGGTTGCATCTTTTTTAGGAAAAAAAAAAAAGCAGCTTTGCATCAGGTGATACAGAGCATTGTTTGCAAAACCCAGCAGTGTTTTTTAACTCTTCTAGAGTTTGTACATTTATCTTTACAGTGTGCGATCAAAGTCACATTCCTTCCTACTGTGCAGAAACTTAACAGATAAAGTTGATTCTTACTATTAAAGATAACAAGCAGTAGAACAGCGGTAGGAAAGCTGCAACATGCAGTGCCTCCCCATAGGCGTTTATTGTGCAGAGCAGTATTGCTGGTTTCTGTGTTGTAAAATAAACCTGAGATTTCTTAAATGCTATATGGATGAAACAGCCAGACGGATATCATAAATGGCAGCATTCGCAAGAAAAGAAACATCAGAAAAGCTACGGCAAGAAAAGCAATCAGGATTCTGATGGTAAAACATTTACACAGATCATGACTACCACTACAATGTTTTTTGTCATCTGTTTTTACTGTTTGTTCGAAATAAATAAAAACCATTACATCAAGTTTAATAGCATTGTCATTTTTAATAAACAATGCTAAACCTTTGATGTGTGGTCTACGATAAAATTCAAATATTGATAGGGACCCCCAAAGGTCTGGGGGTCCTAAGCAACTGCTTAGTTTGCTTTGCCTTAGCCAGGCTTTGTAGTCACCTCGTTTCCTGTCAAACTCTGGCGCTGTATGTAACATTAAATAAGTCAACATTAGCCATGAGGATGGAGCAGCGAAAGCAAACTAATAAACATAAAGCGGCACTGAAAAGTTGACAGGTAAAGAAATCCCTGAGAAAGGGCAGCAATGTAAAATCTTCTGACCTGCTTGGTGGTCCTTCCTTTAGTTCTGGTCTCTCCACCAGACACGAGAAGTCAGATGATACTGCTTATAGCAGCTTTAGCGAGGTTAGCATTGATTTAATTTACTAACTGATGTATTTTTGTTGCTGTGGCTGTTGAATATTATTTACACAGCACTTTAAAAATCCTAATGTAAGCCTATTTTTGTCAGCATGTAACCTGCGTTCCATTTACCTGGGGAGTTGGAAGTCGGCGCTTGGGTGGATGTCACACCTGAGGTAACTGTTGCAGATAACAGTCAGCGAAGTTACTATTTCAACATGGCAAGCAGGCACTGCCTCCAGTCGCACCCTGCTCTTGACATATTGGCTAAAATCCTCATATTTGTCCAATTTTTTTCAGCATATAATCTGTGTTCCATTTACCTCGGAAGACTGAAGTCGGAGATTGGGTGGAAGTCCTACCTGAGGTAACAGCGTTCCAGATAACAGAGGAGTTACTATTTCGACACGGCAGGTAGACATTGTGCGCAGATTGTATTAATGAGGGGGTATTATGTAAAATTGACTTCTTTGAGATTTATGTCTTATTATGTTATTCCCTCATCTAAAATCAGACCTTGAAGGTTGTTTCAATTTTTTAATACATGTTTGAGAAATCCTTGCATCTCCCATGGCAACCAATCTGAAGTGCACAAACATTCAATCCCACAAAGTGGCACCTATTTCCACAAAACTTCTCCTAGCAGCTTCCCCTTTTGAGTTTTCCCCACTCCAGACTAGCAGCAACATCAATTAACAGATTGCATCATGGTGGAACTACAAGTTTGCTGAGCTCATCATACAAACTACTTCTCAGGCCAACACTCCTAAGTACGTCTGTTAACGGTGGAGTGAAGGACAGAGTAGGACAGGGGTGTCAAACTCAATTTCACCGAGGGCCACTTCAGCATATTGGCCACCCTCAACGGGCCACATTGACAGTACAAATCAGGAGTGTTCTCCAGACTACAACTTTTAGATGCATCCCTGCTAAAATATATCCCAGACAAAAGGTTGACTTCCCTCATTAGTAGCAACTCAGTTCTGTAGAGGCTTATAATAAGTAAATGATCCAGGTGTGTTAGAGAAGGAATGCATCTAAAGTTGCAAAATGGTATCTCTGGAAAACTAGACTGGGGCACCCGTACCATAAATAAATAATGGTAGGGGTGTAATAAATGTACATTATAGACTTTACGCAAAAATTTAGTCTCAGAGGCAACTGAAATCAATTAATTAAAAAAAAATCCTTTCTAAATATCATCTCATGGTCTCTGAACTAAATGCATCTTTCTGACCGGGAGCTGACAGCGAGTTGAAGAGTTATGGACTGGACGCTCTGGAGTCGGAGTTTCTCTCACTTTCAGAGAGAAATGTCCGACTTCGGGGAGCGTTTCCAGATCCAACTAGAAACTTGGAATTTCTGAGTTTGAGGACAACATTCACTTGCTGCTTTAGAACTGCATATTTAACCCATTAACAGGTAGCATGATGACTGGATAATTAGTTATTCTCTTCCCTTTAGTGGTCATGATGACATACCTGAGGAGCATGATTTTTTTTTTCTTTTTATTTGAGCAGCTACAATATCGCTCCAACATTTGCAGCGCTCCTATCTATATCATATTGTAAAATCAGGCATTTTTCACAAGATACATGTAAGTTAACATACTTACCTTTAGGTTTTTTTGTGGTGGTAGTGGGAGTAGCAGTGGTGACAGAAGGTGTAGTTGCCCCTGAGAAAAACAAAGAGTGTAATAAGGAGAAAATCATCTTGGTATCAATAATTCCTGATATTTAAAATAATTAAAGAAATATAAGCTGAACAGCCTGGAATTCAGCATCTGAAGAAATGACTTACAAATACATAATCAAAAAAAAAAATAAAAAATCTTTAAACTTTGAAGTCTGGAAAAAAGGTCTAAAAATATCTTACACAATATTTCCAAACAGGAAAAAGCCTGTCACACCCTGTGCTCAGTAATATGATTGAATCCACTCATCTTTGCCTAAATTCAACATCAGATAGTCACATGTCAAGAAGAGGAAGTGTGATAAGTCAAATTTCCTGTTCATAGAAAAAAAAAACTTCTCCACAAATTCTAATTAGAGATAGTAATTAAGAAATTATTTTAAGTGGGAAATGTAAACAAAATATCAGTACCACATAATACAGCACATTATCTGAAGGATGCAAACATAGAGGACTGTGGCAAATGATACAGGTTTACGGGTGTGGGGTCGGTTGGACCCCATATGTAAACACAAGGGTTAATTGATCAACAATTTACCAGCCCCAATTGCCACACGGCAGAGCCGTCACAGAGTCACTTTTTAGGAGCTTTTTTCATTACCATGTAGGGAAATTAATGTTCAGATTATGATGTGCATTATTTTATTAGTGTTTTGTTTTTTTTCCCCACATACTTACTTTTACATTCTGGTAACGATGGCGACCACTGGTTATTTATATCGCATATCATAGTAGGTGAGCCATACATTATGTATCCAGGTTTACATCTGTACGTCACTGTAGCCTTGTGTTTATGTGGAGGCCGAGAACCACTTTCATAGACAGCATTTTCAATTACAGGATCTTCACAATGAACCTCTAAAAGCGAAGGGAAAGGAAATTATTATTGTCACAACAGTAATCAGTCATGATTTTGTTATCAAATTTGAGACCAAAAACAGCCCAATACTTACTGACACAGGTTGGAGGAGAAGGGGAGAATTCCCCATCATCAGAGCAGGCTGTTTCTGTTGGTCCATTAAGTACAAATCCTTTGTAGCAGGAGTACCGCGCAACTTCTCCGAAATTATAGAAATCTTTCTGTGGATAAAATGTGCCGTTTGCAACTGGTTCTGGTGTGGTACACTGCACCGCTGCAAAACAGAATTAAGTTTTTCATATTTCAGATCCTTTCAACCTTCAAGAAGCTGAGATGAACAAAAAGATCACCAACCGTCACATGTTGGTAACCTGCCAGACCATCCGTTGACTTCGCATCTAAAACTCGACCTCCCGACCAGCATGTAACTAATGAGTGGAGAAATAAAAAGCATTTATTTTAACAACACTGAGACAAGCAAACAGACCGCTGTCTTTATTTCACAGCAAAATTAGCAAAAAGAAAATGCTGCTACTTGCAGGAAATATTTCAGTAATTATCTTAGTGGAGCATGCTACTGTCTGTTAATCTGGGAGAGGACACAAGGCCAACACCACACAAACTGAAATCCAACATTCCACAGCAAGGCAGATTATTAGCGAATAGAAAACACCTAGAATCGTTTCTAATTAGCCTTAAGTTTTTGAAAGTCAAGCTGTGCAACACACAAAGCTCCATTTCAGACGCTACAGGTTTTTGCTTTGCATGACATTACCACTAAATTCTCTGACACTATATTTAGAAGAAAAATACCTATTTTAGTATTTTTTTATATTCTTCAACGGGTTGGTTATATATATTTTTTTCAGACTAGTTTTACATTTTGTTTCAATAAAAGCATTACAGTATGACTTCACTGTTTACATACACAAAAGGTGCACTCTTGGATAAAGTTATACTTTTGTTACTAACCCTGGGTGACAAGTGACCGTAGCTGTATCACCAAACTCATTTCCGTCATAATTAACTTCACCATGAGACACCTCACCCAAAGTGCCACAAGATTTCCCTGGAACAAGAAAAGGGAACAAAATTACACTAAATCTACAATTTATTGGACACTGCTACTAAAAGCATGTGGGGAAAATATAGTAAAGTAGCATTTTATAATGTTAAAATATAAAGGCGCTTTCGCACTGCACGGAACGGAACGGAACGGTTGTGTTCGCATTACAACTTGCGACCGGTGTTATAGATCAACTGGTGGCTAAATCAACTGGTGGTGGCAGCTGGAAAAGACTGATGTTTCTGTGGGCGTGGCTTTTTAGGACCCCTTTACCGAACCAGGAAGTAAACAATGCAATAAGCTTAAAGAACTACAAATCTTTGCAAAAATACTATCCGATTCCGTAAAACAACCACTAAGATCTCGGGAATAACTAATTAGAAAGACTTTATTGGTCTAATATGGTATGTTGCCTTTTATTTAAAAGTTCATCTGCAAAACCATCAAAACGTGTAAATTACGCAGAACTTGTCCTGACTTATGTGTTGCTTCAGAGGTTGAAACTCGTCAAAGGAAGATCGAAATAGATCTCGATGTGGCATGAGCAGATCTCAAAGCAAAGATTATTCCCTGAAAGCCGACATAAATGTTGAAGAGCCTTGGGATTAAAAATGAAATGTTTAAAAAGATCGACTGGCTGTGTAATTTTTCCACATATTCCTCATATTATGATATTTCAAATAGGTATAAACAGAAACTATAGCGAAATCTTTTTAACTGTTTCTGTAACGCTACACTTTATTTCCTAGCTGTCATTGATTGTTATATAACGGACACATCACACTTTAAGAACCAGGCCTGGATTAATTGGTGACACTTTCAGAATCTCAGTTCGAGTGAAGATTTTAACCTGCTTCTGATGTAAAAGTATATAAGACAATTGTTTTTTCAACGACGTCTCATATGGTTGAGAATTACAGTCACTTGATGAAAATAATAAAAACGAGAAAAAATATCAACAATAAGGAAGAAATGACACTGCCACATAGATCTGCGGTAGCCATGTCTTCTGTACATGAGCAAGGAAATAAAATGTAACATTACAGAAACAGTAGGAGGGGTCCTAAAAAGCCACGCCCACAGAAACATCAGTCTTTTCCAGCTGCCACCACCAGTTGATTTAGCCACCAGTTGATCTATAACACCGGTCGCAAGTTGTAATGCGAACACAACCGTTCTGTTACGTACCATTCCGTTCCGTGCAGTGCGAAAGCGCCTTAAGTGTTTGATTTTTGAGAATACTACAATTTCAAATTGTGAGTAAAATTATTCTACTGTTGTATCATGGAGAATTTCATGGTGTGTTTTATTAAATAATACTCACTTTCACATCGCAGCCGCACAGTACTCCATGTGCCAGCAGTGCATGTGATAGATGCAGATCCTCCAGCAGATGTGTAGCCGTGATCACAGACAAAAGAAACTTTGCTCCCATCTGGAAATGTTTGCTGGGTAATGTAGTCATCCCTCAAATTCATGTGGTCTCCTGCAAGAGGTCTGGAGCAATCTTGTGCTAGATTTTTTACAAATTGAAGAATTTGTTGAAAAGATGGGCATGAGAATTGAAAGAGCTTCAATTACTGTCAGGTTGCGCATGCTCCGTGTCCCCGTTTGAACTAACCTTGAGCAATTATGGCAAAGCCAAGACTGCAGAGTATAAAGACAGCGGTAATACCCATGGCAGGATCTGGGACAGTAATCCAGTGACAACAGTTTCTTTCCGGGAAAAGATGCAAGCAAATATAAACAAGAAAGTGGTTTAAATAAAACAATCAGACAGCAAGCTCTAAATGTTTTAAATACGAACAATGACAGCCATACAGTGTCAATAATTGTCATGTTAGACTGAAGATTCGGTAGAAACCAAAACCAACTGTGTTACTAACGTATATTTAAATGAAAGAAAGCATCCATTGTAATAATTTTCCATATTTCTGAATTGTACTCCAAGCAAATTTTGTTTTCATCACCAAGTCAACTTAGCGTCTAAAGAGGCAAAAATGCCTATAATATTTTTACATTTCAGAAAAACCAGCTCGACAAGCAACATCACGCAAAAGAAGCACAGCAATAAACCGAGTTTTAAAAGAAAATAAGTGGCTTGTTTATTGTGTAATATCTAAACATGTGGGCGTTAACGCGTCGCGGAAACAACGGCCTAAATTAATCCTAATTTAGCTTCAGTTTCACTGTAATGCAAGCCGAAGTTGCCAAAAGGTCCATTAATATTGAATAATACAGGAAAAAGTACACCAGACAGTCTGAATCGGCTGTTTATAAATACATATTTATATTCGATTAAAAAAACGTACCGCGTGCGGCTAGCTAGCTGAATGTTAGCTAAACAGACACCATCAAACATAACTGAAACAAACCGAAAATTACTGAAAAAGTACAATTCTTTGCTCTTTTATGGATTAATCTAAAATGTTTAGAAATAGTAGATTCGGACTTACCAGCTTTAAACACCTCCGAATCAAACACGAAGACTCATTATGCTAGTGGACACTTCCTGTTAGCGCACAACTTCTTTTTGAGGAGGGCGTAACCAGAAGTGACACACTTTACTGATACGCCATTACGTATGGATGATATGCAAGCACGTATGGCATAACTTAAAGTTGTACAAGTTAATTCAGTTTTAATAATTTGATTTTTAAGGCAACAAGTTTGCATATTTTTTTTAAGTAAGGTGAACTAATAGATTCTACAATGCACTTGCACATTTCATTTACATTAAAAAAGTTGAGTAATTTATACATTAATTTATACAGTAATTTTACTTAATCTGCTTGATAAAATTAAGTTAATTTTACTTGGATTTTATTTTTCATGTTAAGAAATATATACGTACTTTAAACAAAGAACAGTCCTGCTTGATCAACATAAATAAATTATGCAAATATTTTCCTTATTTTTTTTTAAGTAGACAGAAAGTAATTTTATCAGTGTAGATAACACAAGTGTACCTGAGGTTAAGGAATGGCTTTGTAGCCCCCTCTGAACAGAGGAGACAGATTTGTCTTTCTTTTTTTAGGTCAGGACATGATTTTGTTGTACATTTAAGGGATTTCTTTTAGTGATTCTAGTTCTGGTGGTAATCAGGCCTGAGTGTGGACTTTGAATTAAACTGGTAATGTTACAGTTGACTCAGAATTTAAAAAGTAGTTCATAAGTTTTCCAGAAAGGGCCACAATTGTATGAATGTCTTTTTTCCATAATCTTTATTGAGATCATCTTTGTCTGATACTCAAATCTGTGTGATGGTCTCATAGCAAAAATAGATTAAATCTGTAGAGGAACACTTTTCCACAACTAATGTTGGTTCTGATCTCAGTTTCGGACCACTTTTCGTCTAAAATGTGACAGATCATAATCCCTGATCAAAACAAATTAGTGACAGATCTCTTGCTGAAGATATATCACAATCATGTCACTTTACTTACAGAAAATTTTGAGCAGTCTATAAAATAACAAAGCAGATATAAACCATCCCACTGGCAGGTTTGAACTGACACATGGTAAAATGTTGGAATACTTCTCTTAACTAAAGAAAATGATAGTACAAAGCTGCTAAACTACAAATATACAAAATCGAGAAATCAGCAGCATGTGTTAATGGACCCAAATGAGAAAATAAATTTAAGCAGGATGTAACACAATAATTTTCAGAAAATATCTGTGAGACTTGAGCATTTTATAAAAATAAACTGACAATGTCCTACTCCTTCCAACAATCTGTCTGAATGGAGCACAAGAAAATATCTAAACATCCTGCAGAGAACAGAATGAATTTTAGGAAATTATGGGTGTGCCGTTATTGTTCTGAGTAACTATACACTGGCTTCCATTTCAGGAACACTCTTTTTTATAAACTATGGTTTCTGTTTGGCCATTTGCAATGCTTTGGGTGGGACAATGAAAATCCTGAAACAAGATGTAATATATAAACATTTCCCACTAATTTTCTCTTCAACCTCTAAATCATAAATCTCCCGCAGAGCAACCCTCTGTGGAATGTGTTGGTAAACAACTAGATAAACTTGTATTCAGGGTGATATAAAGCATTATTGTTCCTCCATAAAGCCTTTTGTAAGTGGTTTAAAGTTAAGACTTGGTCTCATCTGACCACAATTCAGGTTGCTTAACTATACATGTCACACCTTTAATGTTGTATTTTAAGAAAAAATAAAAACTGCTGACAACTTCTCAGTTATGTACCTTCTTTTGGGGTCTACTATATGAAATTTAAATACATTTCATTAAGGTTTGTGGTCATTACAAAGGATTTAAATGAATTTTTACACTTGCCAAATATGTGTAATATGGCAAAGTAAAAAAAAAAAAAAAAGAACAAACATACATGTTGTGTGTGTTTTAGGGTGTGCCATAATTGGAAGCAGAATTGTTTCTTACAGCACTCCAAACTGTTGCAATATTTGAATCCTAATTTTTTTTTACAACAAAACAACTGTTATATTATAGTACAAACATTTTGTGTTTTTTTTATATTTACTTTGTTTTAAATGTATTATAGGAAAGAGTTCAAACAACAAAACAAGTGTATATCCATATAAATATTAAAATTCAACTCAACATTTGTATAATAATTCATGTAAAAGCAAATTCTGGAAATTTGTGCAGCTATGGGGCACAGTTTTACCTTAAATATTAATTTGCATGCCATAACATGTCATTCAGTAATTCTACTTTATTTAGGCTTAAGGACATTTAAGCTTGAAATACAAATTGAGGCAAATACAGTTTCTTTAAAGATTACATCTGTACAAGGAATGTTAAAATCAATTAAATTGACTAAAAAAAAAAAGATTTCACCCCATATTAAACTTTTTCCTCCTTCTGCCATGTTTCTTGTGTCTTGTTTTTGTACAGCTGATGAATATACACAGACTTATGATTAAGACTGTCATAGAACCCCATCGCAGCAGCTCATACCACAGTGGTACTCCAGTCCATGTGCTGTAAAAAAGAAGTGACAACTTTTTCAGATGAGTTATTTCAGTTCGTTATATATTATTTCCATCAGGCAGACAGTAAAAATATGCTTTCTAACCTGCTGAAAAACGCATGCATAGCAGTTTGATTGACTTGTAAAGACTGCTCTGAGATTTCAGAGGGGATTTTTGTAGCTTCTATGCAGGTTGTTGTTGGTGAAGTTTCAGCCACAGTGGTCCTCATTCTGTCTGCGCAGTCATAAACAGGCTGCCCTAATAAATAAAAGCAAAGATATTTACAGAACACTGTGGAAAACCGCTAATTTTAACAGCATGATAATAAAATATCAAGCCTCATAGATGTTCAAAAGCTCATATTTGTAAAATCCCACATTTTATGTATTTATGTTTCATTTCTTTTTTCTTACCCAAGAAAAGTAAAACTATGTTTGTGTACCGGGGTAACATTTGGTGACCTTTATCAAAGGTCACCAATCTGACAAAGGTGACTTCCGTTACCTTTGTGACAGATGTGTTAGCTATCTGTCTTAAATGGTTAACACATTTTCTGTTCAGTTTTTTTTTTTTTTTTTATGAGAACTTAAAAATAATCACCTTTTTATGGTCTGAATCATATTAAAATCCTCATAAGAACAATAAACCATAACCAGGCTGTGCCTTTTTTAAACAAGAGTACATCATGTTAAACCAGAGTATTAAACACTGAAGGCACCAGAGTTAATATCGTGTGGTTCAAACCTTTCAGCTTGAACTAACCCCCTGCTGTAAGACCATATAAGTCCCTCACATAAATGCTGTTGATCTTTGGCCCACTTAACACACATGTGCTGCAGTTATTTGTTGTTTGTGGTTTTTTTGTTGATCACCACCACTTCCAAAGGCATGTGTCCTGATTTTGGTTGTAAAGGTTTTCTTCTCTACATGCTTTAGATGTTTTATTTATTCAATGCACCCAATGTAAATTTATGAATTAAGCACAGGCGTCTCACAAACCCGTTTAAATTAATGTGATTTCCTTTGAATCAGGTGCTCTGTAAAAGAGCACAGATGCAACTGAAAAAAAGCTTGAAAAAGTCTCTTGGCCCAGCGTACAGAGATGTTGTCTGAGGATCCAACACTGGATTGGAATTGTACCAGAGTTGCATAATATTATAATTTGTTTTTTCAGCTGTTGGGAATAGGGCTAAAGGTTAGGGACAAACAGTTATCACATGGAAGTTGTTTGTGAAGATTACTCAAAGAATCAAACTAAAATCTGTTAGAAGTCACTTTTCCAGCACTGCTTTTTAAAATCTCAGTCTACTGCCAGTTCTGAGTTCTCCCACACAGTTTTGTGGGAGAAGAATGTATGTTTGTGAGAGTAGTAGAATAAATTAAGGCTTTAACAGAGCTTTGTGAGTGGACACAGCTTGTTATTCTCAGTTAGGCTTGCATTATAATAAATAAATCATTGCATACTTTATATGCTGTTGCTCATCTGAATTCATTGCATTTCTGCTCCTCAACACATAAAACAACTGAACTGAAATTAAGTCTTATCCTTTACACCACAACCGTGACTTCACTCTATTATATTTTATGACTTATTAACAGTAAAGTGCAGTCACGATGACCATAATTTCTGTTGTTGACATAAAGATGACCAAAATCTCTTCTTAAAACTACCATGACAGTCTGTTTGCACAAGTAGAAGACCACAGGGTAGGCTACCAAAGAGGAGGGACGTTAACATAGACAACCAAGAATCACAGTAATAAAATAGCAAGCCAAGCAGCAGGCACACATCTTCACCAGACCACTCACACACGGTTCTTCTTCCTGTAACATAAAGACTAAGTCGGGTGCATGTTTTTTTGTTTGACCACAAACACCAGCCTTATCAGCAAATTTGAGCTTCACTGGATGCCAGTATGTTCTCTCTAAAAGGACATTCAGTAACAAGACCAAAGCTAATCACAGCTGCTACCATATGCTACCATAAAAGTTAACATATGTAAAAGAAAACAAGCAGATTTAAACAGAGTTGCATAAAAGCACACGTTAATTTTGTGAAACATTTAGTGTTATGTTCTGATTTGGCCACATAACATTCTATATGTTATTATTCTATTTGTGTTCATTATTTGCTACATTTTATGAAGGATATTGATGGTTTCATGAGATTTGACAACTTTAGTCACATCACTTTGGTTCTTACCAGGAATATTAGCAACATAGATGCAGCTGCTGTCATCAGGCAAGAGGGTCTTCACTGAAAGGGCATCACTCTGAGCATTGCTGATGCTGTTACTGGCAGAGCAGTAATAGTCGCTGTCCTCTGTTAATATGCTGCAGTGTAAGCTTAGATCTGAAGAGTTGAGGAGCAGGAAACTTTTGTGGTGAATGTTCTGATACCAGGCATAAAAAACATTGGTTCCCTTTGCATCACCACAGCGGATGGTCACTGGCTTCCCCCAGCATGTTGGACTGTCTGTCAGAGGAGTCAGGGGCCAAAGTCTGGGCTTAGACACTGGAACTGTCACAAAAAAGAGCAGTCAGTTTGAATCAGTTTGGAAGCCAGTAAACAATACACTATCTAAAAGGAGAACACATTCATTTAGAGCTC